GTTGCCACTAGTTGTAATAAATATCTAACACTATACAGAAAATAATGAATTTTAACTGATCAGTAATCAGGAAATGTATAAGTATTACTCATTACAAGCTCATTACTGATTTTTGTCATAAATAATACCTTTTAATCGTACTAGTATTGTGTATTATCTATAATTTGCCACAACCTACAACTCTACTGCTTACTATATTTTGATTCTGCTATAAACTGGTAACGTAAAATTTAGATATGACAACGCGCTTTACTCTCAATCATTATTGGTTTTACTATAAAACACGCACATCAACTCGTGACACATAACATTCGATCTCCAGCTAGGTACAGGGGGTCACCGTGCAAACACTACACATACAGTAGAGTCAGGTTTAACAAATCAAATGAGGGAGTGAAAGCACCTAGAGGATGACTTCCGACCAAAAGGGGTCAGATATCAATCTTGCTGGAGTGCCAAACAACAGGTTGAGGACAACTCGGAAGTGACTGAAGGAGATGGAATTGAGATTTTAGCTTATGCACACAGAAACCGTGTGGGGAAGATTTTGTCTCAATGCATTTAACCCCGGGGGGCACGGTGGACCATTTTCAGTTTGCGCATCGCAGCAAAGTAAATCACTTCGACCGTTGATGTATCGCTTTTGATAATATCTGCCGCAGTAGTAGACGAAACGTTTGGTACAAAAACCTGCAGACCACGGCTGATGAACCCGGAAATATTGGAAAATTTATGAAGTTTATTGTTTTGAATAATTGCAACTTAGATTTTACAAAGAATGAATGTTCTTTTAATTTTCTAAAAATATGTTTTGGAAAATGTGGATCCATACCACAACCTCCGGTAACTTCAAAATTAGTCAGGATTAAATTGAGAAAAAACGGAAATGACGTAATGCAAAGTACTGAAATATTTTTTTCCTTTGCGATGTAAAAAATTTCTTGCTTATAGTAAAAACCCGAAACCCTTTTTTTTATATGTCACTATTAATCTATATCTACATTGTGGATGTGAATCATCCCCCACACCTCTTAACTTTTGAACGGGGCTTGATATGAAAGTCAGCCAAAATTTGTATGAAACAGAATCATTTTTAGTACTTTTTGTTGAAAAAGCCGACTTCATTCCGTAATGTTTTGGTCTTGTCACATCTTTCCAACGGTATATCCTTCGTTAAGCCAAGTTTCATTCAGATAATAATTATTTCTATTCTCACGTCGAAATTCCCAATCGTCCATAGGTAATATCTCATTTTTTCTTGTTTCCCAGGTAAAATTCAATTCCCCCAAAGTTGTCCAAAATTTCTTTCTGTCTATCATTGGAGACATACTTTGTTCTTCTTTCAAGACTCCCATTATTTTGTCCGAGGTCGGTATTTCTTTGTTAAAATAAAATGAAGGTACTGTACTTCTAATTGTAAGTTTGTTGTTTTTACCAACAGGCGCAGTTTTTTTCCTAAAGATGGTTTTGAAGATTTCAGAGCTTCATTTTTTCTCTCACTTTTGAATTGATATATCAATGATTTTAAAACTCCCATCATTTGCAAACACATTTCCACTAGAGTATATCAGTATATGAATGATTTTGGTGCATGAGAGAGTCGTATTCATTAGGAATAATAATATTTTTGTTAACAGAAAAAGCACATTTGTTCATTCGCTTTACTGGAGAGAAAACTGAAGTAGCTATTTCAATTCACACACTAAGTATAATTTACTAATAACACCACTAATTAAGATGCAAGGGCTTTATCATTCATTCATATTCTTCGGAATATAAATAAATAGAAGCTTTATCAGATGATATCATCCTCTTCTCCAGTAAAAATTGAAAATATCTCAGGTATACCTGATTCAATTCAATTTTAGGTGTTCAATTAGAAAAAAGATCCATTAATCATCAATGCGAGTGATTCATATTTTTGTTACTCACCATATGCATATACGAAGAGCCTTTTGAGATTTGTTATATCAAATCATACAACAACATTGAACGTTTAAAATCAATATTACATTTTTCTTCAGTTGAAAATGATTATTACATCGCCGCTTAAAAAAATAGACACTAATACTTTCACAACGTTTATCATCTGATTGAATCATAAATAATTGTTACTCCAGATGGGTTGAATTTTTCTGATACATTATACATCAGTTTCAGTAAAGATCTAAAACAAAATTTGAGCAATTTTTGATACTTAGACAATGATGTAATAGCTCATTGTTGTTAATAATATCTTCCCAAATTCATCTATGCCATTTCTCTTGAGCTACTCATTTTAGTCCTTATCGCTGAGGATGACAATATAGTTGGCTGTTCAAAAAATGAAGTGAATGTTCAAATTTCGCGGGCTACGTAGCCGCGATTTATTATTTTTGTTATATTGGTACACTCGTCTCGGAGATATGTTCACAGTTTCAGTTATTGAGCATGTTTAGTTTGTTGGTGAGAGGACTGAAAGTTTGAAGTGTTTTGCGTGTCCTGTGATTTTCTGCTATCATAAAAATGCACCGAAGAATTGGCATAAAATTTTGTGAAAATAATGAAATTAGGTGTTCAGAAACATTTGAAATGTTGACAGTGACATATGGTGATTGTACTCTGAGTCAGAAAAATGTTTACAAGAGGTACAAGCTTTTCACAGAAGGTAGAGAAGATGTGAATGACGACGCTCGCCCTAGACGCCCCTGCACATCAACAACCGATGAGAATGTTGAGAATGTGAAGACAATTTTCATGGAGAATCATCAAATCACTATTAGAGAAGTTGCTGAGGATGTCGCCATATCGGTTGGCTAATGCCAGACAATTTTTTTGTAAATTTTGGGCATAAAGCGTGTGGTAGCAAAGTTCGTTGAAAAATTGCGGTATTTTGATCACACATAAGCATCGCTCAGAAACTGGTGACAAATCAACAATTAATGGCTTTCGCCATTACTCACTCTTCATTGCTTGTTCGTGATTTTTTGGCCAAAAACAACACCGTAATCATATCTCAACCACCGTATTCACCAGATTTGCCCCCCTGCGACTTTTTCTAGTTTCAAAGATTGAAGACACCCATTGAAGGACGGTGTTTGAGGAGGTAAATACCGAATCTCCGAGAGAGCTCAAGCACATACCAAGGAATGCATATCAGGACTGCGTTGAGGATTGGAAAAAACGGTGGCACAAGTGTATTATATCTGAGGGGGACTACTTTGATGGGAACAAAATAGAGATTTATGAATAAATAAATATTATTTTGAGAAAAATGAAAATTCACTTTAGTTTGGTAACAGAGTATATGGTTTACTAGCAAATCGCAAAACCCCAATAAGGTAAAATGAAGTGATAACCAACATTGATTCAGATATAGATTTCGGAAAATATAAATAAGTGTTTTCTGTAGTCTGCACAATTATTTTATGGATTTAACATACTGTGCTGGTGAAGTGGAGTGAGAAGAAAGAACTAGTGATTGGTTATTTGTTTATTCTTGTTGTTTTTTCATAGTTTCAGTTTTACAAGTAATTACCTCACTTGCAGTAGTCGACTACCTTGCAACTTGAATAAATATAAACGGAAATTATATTCATATGTGATGTTGGGAAGTGAATCAAAACAATTTTTGGATCTAATTGGAATTTCTTCATCTTGTTTTGAAACTGTTTCAAAAACTAGGGGACACATCTCCTTTTCAATACCCCGTACTTTGAAAAGTACTTATACGATTGAGTTGTGTTCATGAACACTTCTGATCTGTAGGTCGAGTAGGTACTGCAATTTGACAAAATTTTGGAAAATCTTACGTAACATCATTTTCTTCAAAAAAAAGAGCGGGGCCAGTTAAAGAAAATACATCAAACTCGACGACAAATGAACGTAGTCAATAAATGCAAATTACTTACACAATTTTGGAATAGTGAAATGCCAAAATCGGAATTACTGGCGAATCTTCGTTTCCATATATAATGAGTCCCATTTGTCGAAGACGCTTTTTGAAATATTTCGTGTTTCTTGCCAACCTCTCAATTCTCTGCCGTCCTTCATTTGTACCATCTTTACCCATGAGTATTTTCAAAACTGATATAATCTGCGAGGCGAGTGGAGGGGGCATAGCCCATGCGTGTCGAGAAGCAACGCTTTTTTCTCGTAGACATGTAATTAACTCCTGCAATGGTAGTAATGGATTTTCAAGACAACTATTTTATGTTTGTGTGGAATCAGTGGAATCTTTATTATGTACAAATAATCAGTATTCAGTGTTGGAACGGATATAAGAGCATATAGTGTCAAAGAGAGGGGTCGCTGCAAGCAAGGTAACCCTGTTCATCGACAGGCGTGGTATGATGCACGATGTCACTCATTTGTATGATCTGGGTGACATTGTACTTCATTCTTCTGGAGAAAAGGATCTCTATTAGGCCTTAAGGTATGGAAGACGGAATAGACAAATTTACAACGGTTCCTTTCAAAAGAGCAAGCTGCAGGATTATAAAGAAGCTGAACCCGAAAGAAGAAAACCCGAAAAACCATTCAGATTCCCTGACAACTGGGTGGTCGTGAAGAAGAAGAGTTTGGAATGTCTACATAAAAAAAATGGTTCGGGCTGTAAGGCATTATGAGTTAGGGTTCTATTCTATTCATGATCCGTAATCCGAGACTGTTTCATATTTGCGAAGTCAAATTTCAATTAATAAAAAAATCCATTTTGATGCCGGACTTCAGTGGTGTCACTGCATATATTTTTCAAATATTCCTTCCTCCGTTTTGGAGGGCTCTCTAAGATGGGTGGAGTCTGAATCCATCAACAGTTTTGTCTAAGTCGCTTCTAACCAGGCCGCCAAAAACGACAACAACAACAAACCTACCCATATGCCCCTTCAGGTCTCTAAAACTTGCTGAACAGCCTGAGCAGCTCGTCTAACGGGTCCAACCCGGTTATAGTTGTAATGAGTTGTTTTGTGAGGCAGTCTGACTTCTAACCTTCCGACAATAGCACGAAAGATAGAAGAGTGCCTAAATATCCCAAGAACGACTAAGCAGTTATTGTCAACACCGGCATCCCATTCGGTCTGACGTGGATTTATAAAATGTTGCATAGAACGCGGACATACTAGATAGAGGATAGATACGCAACATACGCTATACAAAACAAACATAACTTTCCCCCACCAGAGAACATAAAACTCATAAAACAAGTCAATGAAGGAAACCGTATGGACATCTGGAAAAACTTAAACATCCATAAATTTAACAGTCAAAATTCACTTATCGAGGAACAAATACAAATCAGAACACAACAAGACCTAACATTCAATACACTACACAAAACAATACACACTCCTAGAGAAAATCCAACACAAAGGATATTACCTGATACAGGCAAATTTACCTACAGTACCTGCAAAGGCGTTCTGATCGCATAAAATAACACACAAGAGGATGAAACGTTCAGTTTGAGTAGAGCCTTGAAGATGATAGCACAACCAGCTGTCGAAAGCGCTCGCATATAATTAAATAGGAGTTATAAAGCTTCAAATTCTTTTTGTGATATATGTTAATGAACTCGATCCAGTGCAAAAAGGTAGTACGACACTCTTGCTCAGACAAAAATTATATGAAAAACTTAATAGATTGTACTTACCTTCATTTAGAACATCAATCTCTCTCTACTACAGTCAGAATTTTACTCAATAAAACGTAACATATACCTTTGTTCCAGCAATGTATCCTCCTGATGAACCGAAGCTTTTTGAATATGTACCCATAAAAACATCGATATCTTTTGGATTACAGTGGAAATAATCGACAACACCAACGCCCTTTTTTCCCAGAGCACCAATACTGTGAGCTTCATCAATATAAAGATATGCTTTATATTTTTTCTTCAGGGCTATCATTTCTGGGAGGCGTACGATTGTTCCATCCATACTGTAGACCCCTTCCACAAATATAACTATTTTTTTCCACGGTTTGAATACTCCCTCCGGTTGGTTGGGTTGGCCATAGTAGATAGCTTCCCTTAAAAGTCTTTCTAGGTGTTCAACACCTGAAATACACGTTTCTTTTTTGAAAACTGTAGAGAGGGATTTCAGTGGGAAGCGTTTTGTTTGGTTGGTTGAAGGGGTATATGGGTGGTGTGATGTGTCACGCACGACTTGGTGGTGTGTTTGCTGGACTGGCCTTGGTTGGATATACGGATTTTCCAATACCAAGGCCAGTGCAACACCATATACCCTTTTAACAAACCAGAACGTTTCCCACCAAGCGTGGCGTCGCCGATCAATCAGGACTTTCCACGCCACAATAACAACCTACGTCTAAGGTGTTCTCATTCAAGTGCATCAAATGGAAACATACTCACTGTTATGTTTGAATACTCTAACGGTAACGCCCCCTAACCTAATGCCGAGAATAATACTAGAGTGGTTTTTTTCGTCACTGAGAACCAAACTACCAGGTGAAAGGAGGGTAGGAATGTTGAGAGAGTTGGTTGCGAATCCCATGCCAAACGTGATAACATCTTCGACGCCAAGAAACTCTGCCATCAACCTTTCCAATTTGTCGTGGAGTTCGCAAGTGCCATACCGTTGTCGAGAATTCCCAGTGCTGATGCCGTATTTATAAACGGATGAGATCGCTGCTTCTGCGCAAGGTCCTGACTTTTCTGCGAATCCTAGATAGTTGTATGAGCCAAGATTGATACATTTTCGTTCCGAACCGGTAAATCTGAAATCATAGATAAAATGCAGTTGCCACTTTTTTATTGGTCGAAAACACTGACGTCTTTGATTTTTAGAGGTTCAGATCTGTTTTGTCTGAAAAAGTTTTCTGCAAACCAGAACGGGATTAGTAAAGGAAAGAATGTGAAATCACGGTGATGCTATATCCGTAATTACTATTTTCAGCTGATGGACGAGGAACTGCTAATAGGATTGCCACTTTCACCGGTGATAATGAACGAGTAGGGATATTTCCACTATAGAGCACGCTCCGCCCCCTTCACTTGTGCCCCTTTATGGCTTCGCCTCTGGCCCTCCTTCACTTGAGTTCCTCAGGGCTTCGCCACTCTTTCAATTGGGCCCCTCATGACTTTGCCTCTGAGCCCATTTGTCAGCGCACCAAATTGTCACGTGGTTCCAGTAGCCACCGCTGGTCACATCAAATTTTAAACCGCCGGCGTTGGTGGCCATTGGGACCATGTGACAATTTGGTGCGTTGACAAAGGGACACAGGGGTAGCCATAAGGGGTAGCCATGTGAAGATGAGGCAAAGCCCTAAAGTGAAGGAAGTCCTGGGGCAGAGCTACAAGGGGACACAGGTGCCTTCTTCTGGTGAGTTTGGTTCCGAAGTTTGGAACGTCATGAGATCAATCCCAGTGAGGATAATAACAAAAAACACAGATCAAAACCCGAAAATCAGTACAAGATATTCCTGTCCGTGAGAACCTTAGATTTAATATGCTCAAGGTTGCCCCTTTCTTCCCACGCAGACCTACGACTTTTTAGGTACGTGTGGCAGATACTCAACGGAAAAACAACAACTAACCCAGGTAATGCCGCGCAGAGAGTTGAAGTAAAACCATCAGGCACCTGTACAACGTCTTTGACGCAAGTTATTTCCCACTATAAATCTGAGGTTAATACAGTCAAGCTGCTGGAAAATAATTCTATGAAAATCAAAAGGTAAATAGATAAATACTTTTCTGATCATTCCCATATTGATTTCAATTTGAGAGCCACCGATAGATAGCTGTTTCAACCTATTGGGCATCGTTAGTACCGGGCAGGCGGTCCTCGATTGAAGGCAAAATTTGGTGGAAGTCATCGTGAATTTAGACAGGTTGGAGCCTGGTTCCCTTACCCTTTTGACTGATAACAAAATTTGACGTAATCCATCTTGATTTTATTCAGGTTGAAGCCTGGCTCCCTTACCCTTTGGACTGATAACAAAATTTGACGTTATCCATTTCGATTTTGTTCAGGTTGAAGCCTGGCTCCCTTCCCCTTTTAACTGATGTTTGCCAGAAAGACAAACGGGTCATGACTGATGTTTGATGGGGGCATGAAAGTCCTCAGACATCCATACCGCCCTTCGCTGTATACCCCTACCTGGCTGGGGTGAGATGGATGAAGATATTATTCATCTGTTAACGGAGGACAGAAGGCCCCGACAGAGTGTCGGGGCCTTCTTTATCGGGAGGGGTCGTCTACAGCGTAATCTATAGCTTCCCTGACTAACGGAAACAAAATTTGAATAACCAAGAAAAGTACTTAATAAAAATAACTGCGTGAATGCAAGCGAGAAATAAGTGGAACCACCTATTGGTGTGGCACCCAAGTCAACTTGTCAAGTTTTTATGTCAGTGTTGGTGGTTTGACCAATCAACCGACAACTGCGATAGGAGAAATTTGGGAAGCTATCCTGGAATGCCATCGGAAAATGAATCCATATGTTTCTAGAAATGATATAAATCGAGAAAGATTAAGGCAGTCAATCCGCATGTGGATTCGTTTCGTTTCGAGGAACAAGACTTTCTGGAGTGTGTTACTAATGATCCACCAGTTGTTGAATAATTGGGGTTGAGTAATTGGTGTATCATCATTATTAAATAAAATTATACTTACTCGAAGGTCCATCCATTATCCTTGGTGACGCGTTCTTTTACTACAATCTCGTTGCCGGCCACACTACAAATTGGATAATCGCAACAATCTCTCATCCTTCTGAAAACGTATCTGGAGTAAAAGATGGAAAATCTATCGAGAAGAGGTTGGTAGCCATCCCGATTTTTCTCTTTGACGATTTTGGGTGGAAAAAATGATGAAATATAATATAGGAACATGAGAATATAAAAACTGATTTGAGTTAGAAAAAGTACCATCAACGTTGGTGATTCGAAGGGTTCCTTGATTTCAAGCATGTTGGGATTTTTCGTGCCTGATTCATTAGAATTTTCGTCACCATGGCTTGTAATAATTTTCTTGTGTATCTGGAATCATACAAAAATCAATCAATGTTCGAAAATCTGGAGTGTATGCAAAACATACATTGTAAGAGATGGAGTGATTTGTGCTGACAAATAATGATGGTTGTAAGACTTCCAAAAACCTAATAAATCAAAGCTGAATTGAAAGTGCCGATAATTAGCACATTCACCTCACCACCACTGTGAAGAATTTTTCAAAGTTTCACTGATGAACTGAATATCTGTTGAAAAAAGATCTGTTTAGAATTTGTTTTTCCGTTTTCCGTGAATATGAACTGATCTAACTGTCAGCTAAGGAAACACCTACATAATATGGGGCTAGTGGACACACCTCTATGCAGGATGTGTGAACAGGAATATGAGACTGTTAGGCATGTCCTGTGCGAGTGCCCGGAGTTATCGTCAATAAGAGAGTGTGTGTTTGGCGAGTCGTGGCCTACACCTGCCGATATAAAGGAGATGTCTCCCAGTGACCTGTCCACCTTCCTGGAAAGGACAGGATGGACGACGACCTAAGAGGACAACTCCTCGGGAGGATGTACAATAGGTCACATGTGGCCTAAGTGCGTGGGCTTACACTCACCCTCCTTACTCTACAGATACAGATGAACTGATCTACCTGATATCTGAGAGAAAAATGTCAGTTACCTGGCACCTAGAATATATACGGTCTTCCAACAGGGACTTCCAAACTTGGATAATTGATAAGGGACATCTTGTTGAAGCTGCATCTGTCAAATTAGTTGTCATTTATTCAGTCTGTTTTGACAAATCGATGGACTGATATAGCATTCAATAACACGTGAAAATGATAAAATGTTTTATCAAAATGAGTGTTCTGTTCGGAGAACGTACTGTAAGCTTTGCCCATTTTGAGATCGACATAATCGTGAGAGGACTACTCGCAAGATGGTGGATGAATTTGAGTCCACTGGGTCATTAAACGATCGACGACCAACACCCGTATAGTCCAGTCATTATAGTAAGTTCACCTCGGAATTCGAGATACGCAGCTGTAAGTCTGTAAATACTTATATATTGACAACCTAAAAGTTGTCTCAAAACCTACATATGGTAGGATGTAAGCAACTATTAAATTTCAAGGTCAAAGTTCACAAAAATCGGTTTTTTGCGCTTTTTTTGGAAATATCTCATTTCCTATGGGTTTTTTGCTATTTGTATTTATTATCAATATTGTAGAATACAAAATTCTCTACAAATTTTGTTT